CTCACCTAATCCCTTCGGCTGATTGCTCTTCTGTCTGGGTTCAAGGTTTTTATCCCCTTCCCTGTTCTTCCGGCCTGCTACTCTGGCGTCCCTGCGTTGTCTCTCCTCACCTGTAAGCCTGGGGCTCAAGGCTTTTATCCCCTTCCCTGTTCTTCCGGCCTGCTACTCTGGTGTCCCTGCGTTGTCTCTCCTCACCTGTAAGCCTGGGGCTCAAGGCTTTTATCCCTTTCCCTGCTCTTCCCGCCTGCTACTCTGGCATCCCTGTGTTGTCTCTCCTCACCTGTAAGCCTCTAATCATTCTTAATTACTGAAGACCACACTGTGAAACTCACCCAGTGAAAGCCTTCACATGCAACATCTCATTTAACCCTCTCCACAACCCTGAGGGGCAGATAAGGAAACTGAGGCCAGAGTGAGAGCATGAAGACTAAAACCCAAGACTGTTTGTTACTAAGTGCTACCCCTCACTCCTGCTCCCTAGGCCCAGACAGTGCAGAGCCTGGATTCTAGTAGAGGGGTCAGGGGGAGGCTTATACCTTGAGGTAGCGCTGGTAGGTAATGTAAGAGTGCACCAGGGACCGGAACTTCATCAGACTCCTCCTCATCTGTTGATATCGTTGCCTATGGATGGCAGAGTGTATCTTGTCAGGGTGTATGTGTGTCAGGGATTGGGGCCACAGGTAACCATGGGGTAGAGATGCCTACCCTGGCTTGATCTGGGAGTCAGTGCCTACATTTCACTGTGGGGGCCTTTGGCACAAAGGTTTGAAACTGGAGCTCCAAGAGTCATCAACTTAGCCAAAGTCACAAAGCAAATTAAATTAGGACCAAATTATTAACCTGTCTGGACTATGTATTTCCATAAGCTTGGGCCCCTCAGCTGAACTAACTCCCTCACCTACCAGTCATGAAGGCATCCAAAAGTAGAGGCACAGTAAATCTGATCATTCTTCCTGCAGAAGCTTCTACCTTCTGCTTGCATGCCTCCAGGAACAGGGAGCTAACTACTAGCAAGCCCTCTCCTATGCCTTGCTATAGGCCTCCAAGGAGTTTTCCCTCTCTGGGCCCCACCTGGCCAGGTAGCCACGGGCCCGGCTCTGTAGCAGGATGATCTTACGGCGCAATGAGCGGAATCGCTGTTGGATGAAGAAGCCACGGAGGCAGCGTTGCAGTGTGAGGGCTGCCAAGTTCAGGACTCTCTGCCGCATACTCTCCAGCAGCTGGTACAGATGTTCCTTAAGGAAGAGCTAAGGACAGAAGGTGGGCACCTAGACCATGTAGGGGCCAGGTGGCTGAGCAGGGAGGTGGGGACCTCCCTCCCCAGAAGTGCATGGAGAGAACAGATAGGGCAGTCTCCAGAAGTTGGCTGGAGGATGGGCTGGGTTTGGTGAGGTGAAAGGGTGATGGTAAACTAGGAGCTGTTGGTGCTAAGGTCCAGAGGTAGTAAAGGTGGGATCAGCATGCCATCTACCAAGCTTGTCTGGACTGCTACTGGGACAGGAAGCTTTAGCTTGGGTATTTCTGGGGACAAGTGAGGTGGGACTCACCTTGCTGACTCCTACGCGGTACATGTTAGGCGTAACAGCACACAGGCGGCTCAGCACTGACACACACATGTCCCCACTGGCTGGCAGGTTGTGCTTGTGGGCAACTAGACAGCGGTACCTGAGGGAACCAAACTCAGCTGGGGGCTATGAGACCTACCCCATCTTCCTGGCTGACCATGACCGCCTGTCTTTAAGAACCCCAGCCCTGTTTTAGCCCCACTCATAATGTCTTCTAATCAGAAAAAGGCACTCTGTTCTCAAGACTCTGGGTGAAGGTCAACATTTTCCCAAAACAAAGCTCAGGAACCAGGAAGGGGCAGGAAAGAAGGATGAATGGAAACAGAGAACCCAGGAAGGAAGTGGGAAGAGTGCTGCTACATTGAGGGAATTGCAACTAATGTTACAAAACAAAATGTGCATAAATTGTTGAATGTAAAACTAATTTGCTCAGTAAACTTTCACCCAAACTACTATTAAAAAAAAAAAAAAGACTTCTGGGTGTAGAGAATTGTCATTTCGGTAGAACAAGACACTTTACTGCCATCTGCTGGAAATCTGTCATCACAATTATCAAAACCACCCTTTGATGTCAACAAAGTTATGTACAATAAAAACATGAAAAAATACAAAACAGTAAGAGTACTGACCATGTGATAGCCAGCATATGGTGGTCTCGTATAGAACACAGTCTGAGAAACTGCATGTGACAATCCCTGTTCTGCCTGGATTGTCGTCTTAGAGCATGGGGGCTGGGTGGGAGTCCATGGCACCCAGAAATCCCCAACTGAGGTACCTGTCAATGAACATCTGGAAGGGTAGGCGCACAGGGAAGCCTTCCTTTCGGATTCGCACAGTTTCCAGCACTCCTGAATAGCGCAGCTGTGTCATTACAACATCTGGCTCAAAAAGGCCTGGCTCCTGTAGGGGTACATGATCAGGGGGAGTAACTCCCACGGTGGGCTGGACAGATGGAAGTCCAGAGAGGGAAAGCCCCTTTCCCAAGGTCACTCAGCACGGGAAGGGAGATTTGGCTCTCTCAGGGACCTTAGCCATCACTCACCTTCTTATGATTGGGCTTCAGGCAGCGCACAAACAAAGGGTTACACCTGCACAGGGATGGGAAGTGAGCAATGTGAGGCCCCCAAAGGAAGGAGTCCCAATGCTGAGGGTCGTGCACTGAGCTAGAGAAGAGGTATACCCATCAGTCAGCCACGCCTACCTCTCCATCTTCTCCACCAGATCTAGGAGCGACTGCTGGAACTTGGCAGCCACTGTGTGTGCCTTGTAGAGCCGGGTGACGGAGCTGCTCTTGCCCAGGCGCTGAGGGGCAGTCTGCGGGGCATGGCTGGCAAAGAGGTGTGCTACCACCTGGGCAAGAGTGGGAATCAAGGCACCAAGAGATGGAGAGATAGGAGTAGGGGAGGATCCAGAGGACAGAGACAGAAGCAAAGGGAGAAGGGGGGAGAGAGAGAGAAAGAGAAGCAGTTAAAAAAGGAATTCCCAGACCAGAGGGATCTGAAAGCTGACCCATCGCATCCTTATCTGTGAGGCCTCTGTCTCTTGGCTTGCACACCTCTAAAGACAGGATACTCAGCGCTTTCTAAGGGCCTGTCACACGGCTGTGCTTGACAGTTTTTCTTCTTCAGTCAGAGAACATTCATTGGGTATTAAGTGCCTGGCCCTGAAAAGGGCCTGTAATACACATGATCATAGACAGGTACACATTCGACAGAGCAGCAAGTGGAGGCGAAGACAGTGCAGGACCCTCCTCAGGGCACATGCCAGGGAATGTAGGGGTTGGGATTCCAACCAGGTCTGTGCTCTGTCACAGCATCATCTGCTGGCCTGTGGTGGGGCTGGAATGTTGGGGTGTGTGTGTGTGTGTGTGTGTGTGCGCGTGTGTGAGGGCAGGGCTGCAGCAATGAGGCAGGGCCAGCCGGGGATAGGGACTGGGAAAGGAGGATGCGCAAGGCTGAGCAAAGGCTGGGTAGATAGGATACCTTCTAATTTTTCCCTGTGCTGGGTGCGGGTGGAGCCATATTTTGGGCAGGTCAAGCTAGGCACAGCTAGGTCTGAGAAAGGGACCTGACTCTGGGTTGGGACACTCACCCGTGTCCGACTCCTTATAAACAGGTCCAGCACATCCTGGCGCACTTGGTCATGGTTCTTATCCAGGAATTTGTGCACCTGAGAAAAGGAGAAAGGGGGAGGGGCTCAGGCCATAATTCTCCAACCCAAGCAGCCTAAGGGGACAGGGTAGAGGGACAACCCTACCCTAGTCTGCATCAACTGGCTTCCTCCCTCCCTCTAGTAGTTCAGAGGTTTGTGGGGTGGGGGCCCCCTCTGGGCCTCTGTCTCCTGGTCTGTACCAGGAGGGACTGGATCCTCCTCACTGCTATGGTACCCTCCCCATCAACCTCCCTGTGGACATTAGCCAAGGCTTCCCATGACCAGTCTTGGCCTCCATCCTCAGTGGAGGATACTGCCCTGTGCCCATTCTTCAGATGAAGAAAATGAAGCCCAGAATGGGACAGAGGCCTAGAATCCTGGCCCCAGACACTTCCAAGGTAAGAATGTACATCAGATAATAGGGATGAGGGTATCTCAGTGACACTCAAACCAAAACCAAACTCACTGCCATTGAGTTGATTCTAACTCATAACAACCCCTTCTTGGGTTTCTGAGGCTGTTGCTGTTGTTGTTTTGTGCTGTCGAGTCAGACCTGACTCATAGCAACCCCTCCTTGGGCTTCCGAGACAGTATCACTACGGACAAAGATTGCCCAACTTTCCTTCCGAGGAGTGGCTGGTGGGTTTGAACCGCCAGCCTTCTGGTTAGCAGTCAAGTGCCTTAGGCACTACACTACCAGAGCTCCTCAGCTCCTATAGAAGGGTATTATTAGTCCCATTTTCTGGATAAAGAAATGGAGGCTCAGATTGGTTAAGTGATTTGTCCACAGTCACACCACCAGGGAGTAGCAGGGCAGAATTGGAAACTAGGGCTCAGTATCTGAGACCTATGTCATGCTTCTGTGTCCCTAACAGACAGGGGAACTAAGGCACTAGGAGGCCAAACCAGCTGTCTCTTGGATCTCACCTGATAGGTGACTTTGCCTGCGTAGTGCTTGATAGTAAACTCAGGCAGTGGCATCTTGGGTTTGGAGTAGAGTGGGTTGGCGCCATGATGGTAGTTGCACTTCTGCAGGAATGTGTGGTCTGTGGCCTGGGGCAGACAAGAGTCAGTAGGTAGGCAGGGGTCTTAGGTACTCAGGGCAAATGCCTTATTCCAGGGGACCTGATGGCAAGGTCCCCAGCAGGTACTGGGGAAGAGCAACTCACAGATTTCTAGGCTGACCATTGTGCAGAAGGTGGAAGCAAGTGAGCTACAGACCTAAGTGGACCCTGCAGAGAGGCACTAATGACTCACCTCTCAGGCAACCTCCCCTCAAATTCAGCTGCCATTGCCCTTTCTAGTCCCATTTTCCAGAGTACCCATCCCACCCTTATATAGTTTATGTTTTCCAATCAGGATTTGAGGTCCGACCTTAAGACCACCTCTTCCAGGATGCTTTCTCTGACTTTCCAAACTGGTGCAGCCCCAGAGCTCCCCATTCAGCCTCAATCCCCCCAGGTTATGAATGGCAGGTTGTATGTCCCAGCCATCCACCCCCAGGCAACAGCAGAGAGGAATGAAAGACTCAGTGGCTGATGAGGCCATGCAGGCTCAATAATGACGAGCGATCTGACTAGGCTCACCTGGGGAAAGCAACACTGGTCATCGAGGATGCGCAGGATGCCATAAGGCTTCAGTGAGATGAGGTTGATACAGAGCTGGTTGTTGGCAAAGGTGATCTCCTGCCAGTCAATCTGCTCACGGACATACTCCTCCTGCAGGCAGCAGAGGCTCAGCCTCCTTGCCCGGCTCAGCTCCTCCCCTCACCTAGCAAGATGCTTAGGGGCTGAATCCTTTTGGAGGGGCCTTGCTAGGCCACCTCTGCTTGCATGCCTCCTAGAACAGGGAACTCACTTCTTAGGAGAAACACACGAACAATCTCAGGGCCCCACTGCTCCCTCCACTTGGGACAACCTTGTGGAGGGTGAGAAGGACCCCTAAGGTGGTTATCCTCTGGGCCCAGCACCCAATATGTTCCCCTCTAGGACATGAGCCTTCACATGGGCTGGTTCCACTACTTAGAATGCCTTGCCCCATTTGTCTGCTGACAGCCTTGAGTTTGCCTTAGAGGACCAATACATTCTGGTCTGTCTCCAAGGAGGCCCTGGTCTGATCTGGCCAGTCAGGATGGGGATGGGAATGCTAATTATGCCAGCACACCTGCTCCTCCTGGAAGACAATCTTGTTGAAAAGGTACTGAAGGTTTTCATTTGCATAGTTGATGCACAGCTGCTCGAAGCTGTTGAAGCTCAGGTCCTGCCAGGTGGGAAGTGACAGTCAGAAAGGGTTGGTCCCACCTCAGCAGGTCGGGAGTCCCGAGTTCTGTCCACTTTCTCCAATCCAGGCCTAGAGCGCTACATGCCTGCCCACAGACACACTTCTCAGAACCCTCCTAGCTCCCCTGCACATGGGGTAAAGCTGGACATCCAAGGTCTAGATGAGAGGCAGCACAAAGAGTGGTTAAAGGCACAGCCCTGGTGCCTTCTGCCTAGGTTCAAGTCCTAGCTCTGCCACTTTCTAGCTGTGTGATCTTGGGCAACCTCTCTGTGCCTCAGTTTCCCAATCTGTAAAACAGGGACCCATAAGACGTATGGGTTTCATACAGTTATTGTAAGTGAATTAATAAACACAAGAATAGTAGCCAGCACATGGTAGGTACCATGTAAATGTTAGCTCTCACTTATATTCTTATTACACTGTCTTGTGTCCTGCCAGTTCCCCTCACTGTGCACTCAACCTAGCAGTCACTGCTAATTTCAACTGCCCAGATGCCTCCCAGGCACACCTCTAGGCCTGGGCATATGCTATTCCCTCCACCTAGAATGCTGTCACTGATTCTTCAGGCATTTGCTTAAGGGTGTCTCCTTCTCTTCTAGGAAGCCTTCATGACCCCTCCCCTTGGGCTACTCCAGCACTACGCTACCTCTGTCATAGCTATTCCCCACCCTCCTAAGGGCCAGGTGTGTGGGTGATCAGGAGACCCAGGAAGGATGAAGATTGTACTGTAGGTGGAGAGATGTGGGGATGAGAAGGAGCAGCCAGCAGCATGGAGGGTGATGTGGCCTCAGCCATTACATCCCTGCCCCCACCCCTTTCCCCCAACACAGTCCCCACCTCAAAGCCATAGATGTCCAGGATGGCGATGGACATTGTGTTTTGCCATGGAGACACCTGTGCGTTCACCCTGGTGATGAGCCAGCCAAATAGCAGTGCATATAAGACCTTGGCGATAGCATCCCTGGAGCAGAGAAGGTACTTCATGGGCCAGGCACAATTGGGGGTAAGAGCCTGGGTGTCTGGCAGGGCAGAGGCGGGCTCACCTGGCATCCACAGCACTCTCTACGGTCAGAGGAGTGAATATCTTCTCTTGCATTGTCTCCTGGGGAAGGAAATGTTCCTGAGCTGACAACAGGCTAGCCACTACCTTCAGAAAGCCCCCAGAGGATGGGGTGGGGGGTGCGCAGGTAAAGCAGCCCAGAGAGACTGTGAATAGTCTCAGATTAGAGGCAGTACAGATGGAGACACCACTCTCCTCTCCCTTCTGCCCACTATACTGGTGGGGGTGATGATTGCTGGTCAAAGTAGGGACAGAGGCATAAGGAGACATGGCAGCACAATGAGATCAGCCCTGGGAAGGGAAGGAGGGCCCAGGACTGGTCGGATTCGTGCAGAAGCCAAATGAGGCTCTCTGGAGGATGGGATGATAGAGCTAGGTCTAGACGGGTAAGTAGCTGCAGGAGGAGAAAAGCATTCCAGGCAGAGGGAACAGCCTATGCAAAGTTGGATATGAGAACCTAATGCCTTTGGGGTCTAAGATCACCCTCTCATTTCAAGAGGGGCCAACTCAGACAAGGGATAGGGACAGAAAGTGGGCAGGAGGAAGAGGTGGCCTACAGGGACAGGCTTGCATCAGCTCTGTCCAGGCTGCAGCAGCAATCTCTGTTACCAGCCCAGGTACCCCTAGACTCACTGTCACTTTGAAGGTGATGGCCTTCTGCAGGCCTTCAGGGGATATCTGGAGCAGTTCTGCCACAGCCTGGATCTCCCGGGCGCTCACCACTGAAGCCACCTCCTGCGCATCAGTCTGTGAAAAGCACACCAGGACTGTGTGTGTTTAAAATTGAGGTAAAAGTCACAAAACATACAATTCACTATTTTAACATACACACTTCAGTGGTGTCTAGTCCCTTTACAACCTTGTGCAAGCACCACTTCTATCTAGTTTCAAAAATTTTTGTCATCCCTAAAAAACACCTCATACTCATTAAGTAATTGTTTCCCATTCCCCCTTCCCCTATCCTTCCACTAATCTGCTTTCTGTCTCTATGGATTTGCCTATTTTAGAGATAGAGATAAAAGGTATCATATAATATGTGGACCTCTGTGACTAATTTCTTTCAGCATAGTTATTTTCCAGGTACATCCAGGCTGTAACAGGTATCAGGACTTTATTTCTCTTTATGGAATAATATTCCATTGCATGTATGCAGTACATTTTGTTTATCCATGTATCTGTTGATGGGCATTTAGGTTGTTTACACCTTTTGGCTGTTGTGAATAATGCTGTAGCAAACACCAGTGTACACATATCTGTTTGAATCCCAGCTTTCAAGTCTTTGGGGCACATACCTAGGAGTGGAATTATTGGATCATATGGTAATTCTATTTGAGATGGTTTCTTTGAGAAACTATCACATTGTTTTCCACAGCAGCAATATATTAAGGTTCCTATTTTTCCATGTTCTCACCAACACTTGCCATTATCTGACTTTTTATCCTAGTCATTCTAGAGGGTGTGAAGTGGTATTTCATTGTGGTTTTAATTTGCATAATCTCTGTACTGACCAATGATGTTGAACATCTTTTCATGAACTTTTTGGCCATTTGTGTATCTTCTTATCACCAAAAGGCCAAACTCACTGCCTTTGGGTAGATCCCAACTCATAGCGACCCCTCCTTGGGTTTCTGAGGTGGTATTCTATGGAAATAGATTGACCAATCTTCCCACTCTTCCTTCTGAGGAGTGGTTGGTGGGTTTGAACCGCCAGCCTTCTGGTTAGCAGTCAAATACCTTAGGCACTACACCATCAAAAGCTTTTTCTTTTTTTTTAAACTAGATAAGCTGAGCTCTGGTAGCATAGTGGCTAAAAGCACTTGACTGCTAACCAGAAGGCTGCGGTTCAAACCCACCAGCCACTCCTTGGAAGGAAGGTTGGGCAATCCTACTTCCGTAGTGATACTGCCTCGGAAACCCAAGGAGGGGTCGCTATGAGTCGGGGCCGACTCGACGGCAAACAACAACAACAAGCTGAGCTTAAACCAAGAAAACTAAACCAACTACCATTGAGTCAATTCTGACTCTAGTGACCCCCATTAGGTTTCCAAGGCAGTAAATCTTTTTTTTTTTTTTAATTGTGATTTGGGTGAAGATTTACAGAGCAAATTCACTTTCTGTACAGCAGTTCACATATACTTTGTCTCATGTCATTGACCACAGTTAACCACAATGCAACAGCTCCCCTCCCACTTCCTCCCCATAGTTACCTCTTCCCAGTGTCCATCCCTCCATACACTCTTGCCCCCTGAGCTGTCTCTCTGTGCATAAGCAGCCCTTCTTTCTCCCATGATTGTTCTCTGCAAGGAGTGTATCTACTTGAGGTAAATGTTTAACTCATATGCCTGTATTCTGTTTGGCCAGAAACCACAGGTGTGGGTTCAATTCCAGACCTGAAGGGCAGCTAGGGGCCATAGTCCCAGTGGTTCCCCCAGGCTCTATCGGACCAGCAAACCTGGTGCCCACTTTTTAAGGCAGTAAATCTTTTATGGAAGTCTATTTCCTGATCTTCCTTCTGAGGACTGGCTGTTGGGTTTGAACCACCAACCTTCTGGTTAGCAGTCAAATGTCTTAGGCACTGCACCACCAGAACTCCTCACGCTGAACTTAAAGCTGATTTAAAAACAAAACAAAACAAAACAAAAACCAACAAGCTAGACTAACTAGCAAAATTCTGAAAAAGAAGAGGAATAAAGGGAGCCTGTGGTGAAATGAGTTCCTTTATGTGGCCTTTTGCCTTGGTTCTTTGGAAAAATAGCTTGACAGGCTTTCTCTCTAAACCCTGAGCATTTACCTTTGCTCTAGTTTTCTACCCTAGAGAGTTTGTTTCTTTAGTACAAGTTGATTGCCATTTCCTAGGTAAACTGTATACATCTTTTGGTTTGATATTTTTGTCTGGCCCTGGGCTACAGCTTGTCCTGTGACCGATATGCATGCACCTTGCTGGGACTGGCCAATAGACCATGAAAATAAAGAGTCAGTAGCCTACCATACAAATGAAGTATATGTGATCTACCAAGAGGGGATTGTTCAGTTTGTGCCCCTCATCCCCTGCTGGAAGGGGCCATGACTTAAAATTGACAAGAAGTTGTGTATATGCATTGTGGTAAATTGTAGTCAATGTCATGAGACAAAGTGTATGTGAACTGCTGTATGGAAAGTGAATTTGCTCCGTAAAATTTCACCCAAATCACAATAAAAGTAAATAAAATAAAATAAAGAAGTTGTGTATATAAGCAGCCAGTCCCACAGAGATTTTAGAGACACAAAGAAACAGGGAGCAGAAAAAAGTAGAAATGAGATAAGGAAAGAGAAAAACAGAGGGAAAGGAGGCAAAGAAACTCCCAAAAGAGCTATAACATGAGTAAAGGGCTATAAATACTGAAGACAACTGGCCAGAAGGCCACAGGAGACAGATGTGGCAGTCTGCTTCTATAGAGATTACAGCCTTAGAAACCCTACAGGGCAATTCTCCTCTGTCCTACGGGGTCACTATGAGTCAGAATTAACTCACTGGTGCTGGGTTTGAATGGGTTTGCAGCTCCAATGGGGACAGGCTCAGAAGGGGCCCTGCAGCAGAGTTGGTAGTGACAGATGGGTAGGTCAAGGGGAAACTGTTCTGAGGAGGCAGAGAGGCCTGTCTTCAGGGGCAGAGTGAAGGGCCTGCTTGGTTGCATGGCCAAGAGGAGCTGAGAGAGCTGTCCTGCACTGAAGAAGGAAGAGATATGCTTTCCACATAGGGGGAGCTTTCCACTTTGTCTATATGTTTCCTGATCCTGATCATGAATTGTAGCCTGTTACTTCTTTAGTAAACTACTTAACAGTTAGTATGGTCTGTGAGTTCTGTGTGTCCATTACAATGGCTTACTGAACCCAGCAGAGAAGTAGAGGGTGCTATGGGTGGGAGGGATGGCTGGTGTCCAAACTGGGAGAAAGGTTGAAGAGTAGAGGTATGTCTGACCTCCACCTCATAGGGGTCAGCTTTGGGCGATCCTGGTCATTATCCTCCATGAAGTTAGGTTCTAATGCTATTATACAAGAGAAAGATGTGGCAATTTGTTCCCTTAAAGATTACAGCCTTGGAAACTACATGGAGCAGTTCTACTCTGTCCTATAGGGTCCCTATGAGTAGGAACAGGAACTCTGGTAGGGTAGTGCCTAAGGCACTTGACTGCTAACCAGAAGGCTGGCAGTTCAAACCTACCAGTTACTCCTTGGAAGGAAGATTGGGCAATCTACTTCCATAGTGATACTCCCTTAGAAACCCAAGGAGGGGTTGCTATGAGTCAGGTATGACTCGACAGCAAATAACAACGACAACAACAACATGAGTAGGAACTGACTTGATGGCAATGGGTATGTGCATAATGCTACTATTGAAACAATTAGTACTACTGCAAGTTTATAGTGCCTTACTAAATATTAAACATATTTTTATATATGTTTAATAACAGGAAGTTACAATAATTAAAACAGTGCAATGACAGTCAATATAAAGACAGACAAATGAAGCACAATACAAAATCTGTAATTAGACATATATATATGAACATATATATAGAGATTTAATACATGATAAATATTTATTTTTTAAAATTGGGTGATTAGAACAATAAGGATAAATCTGGACAAAAATTCAGTCAGCAGCAAAGAAGTAAATAATCCAGTTAAAAAAGTGAGCAAACATGTTGGACACTATTTGGAGAAATATTTTTTCCAAAGAAAATATAAAAAGGCCAACAAGTACCTGAAACAGTATCAATAATCAGGGAAATGTAAATTAAAACCACAATGAGATACTATTTCACACCCACTAGGCAGTTCAAACCCACCAGCCACTCCTCGGAAGGAAGATCGGGTAATCTACTTCTATAGTGATACTACCTCGGAAACCCAAGAGGGGTCACTATGAGTCGGATGCAACTTGACAGCAGTGTTAGGAGGATGCTTAGGACGATCCTGGTGGCACAGTGGTTAAGTACTCAGCTGCTGACCGAAAGGTTGGTGGTTTGAATCCACCCAGGCTCCACAAGAGGAAGATGTGGTAGTCTGCTTCCATCAAGATTACAACATTGGAAACCCTACAGGATAGTTATACTGTCCTATCGAGTTGCTATGAGTTGGAACTGACTTGTTGACAATGGGTTTGGAATAGAAAATAACAGGAAAATAACAACTCTTGATGAGGAGAAACTGGAAACATTGGACAATGCTGGTAGGAATGTAAAATGGTATGACTGCTGTGGAAAACAGTTTGGCAGTTCCTCAGAAAGTTAAATATGGAATTACCATAAGACCACCAATTCTACTCCTAGGAATTCTCCCAATTGAAATAAAAACTTGTGAACACACACAAAAAATTTATAAATGAACAATCACAGCAGCATTATTCACAATAGCTAAAAGGTGGAAACAACTCAAATGTCCATTAACAGATGAATACATAAATGAAATATGGTGTACAATGAAATATGACTCAGCCATAAAGAGAAATGAAGTCTTGATATATGCCACAATTTGGATAAACCTTGAAAACATTATGCTAGGTGAAATAAGCCAGATACAAAAGAAGAAATACTGTATGATTTAATTTATATTAAATATTCAGAATACATAAATCCACAGTAACAGAAATCAAATTGATGGTTAGTAGGGCCTTGGGGAAAAGAGAAATCCCTCAATGAGATGGACTGACACAGTGCTGCAACAATGGGCTAAAGCATGGCTGGATAGTGTTTCATTCTGTTTTA